CCCTTCCATGGAGCTGTAGAGATGGCTCAGCAGTTAAGACATGTACTGCTTTTGCAGAGGACCTGAATTCGGTGTCCAGCTCCCAAGCTGGGCAGCCTACAACCACTTGTAACTCTAGCTCCAAAGGATCGTCGCCCTCTTCTGGCCACCATGGGTCCTGCACTTATATGCACAGACACACATACATGTATAATTAAAAATAAAAGGGCTCTCTTCCAGAGCTTCCATCAAAATCAGCCTTCCTAGCACCTGAATTCAAGGTTCTAGCCCTCAGAACCATAAGACAATGACTTTCTACCCCTGAGCACTATTAGCTTGTGGCCATCAGTTCCAACAGCCTTGGGAAGCTGATATGACTAAAGGGAGTCTCTGTTAGCTGGGTGTGGAAAGTGCTGTGGCTTGTAGTCTGAGGAGACAGTCCTGAACTATGATAGTTATCATTTGGTTGGGGAAACACCATAAGGATGTTCTCACTGAGGCATGAGAGGGCAGTGGGGCTCTGCTCAGCCTCCAGGGCTGCGTGCAGCTTCCAGCAGGAGCAGACCCACTGCAGATCTGCACTTAGAGACACCCTGGTCGGAGCAGAGCAGTGTCTGTCTACACTTGTAGTGGATGCAGCCACAGTGATCTGGTGTTCTGTAAACTGCCCTTCCTAGTATCTGCCACCCACCTCTCTTCCAGGAGGTGATTTCTGCACCCACCAGGCAACTGACTGCATCTAGGCATCTGTGTGGGAGAGGCACTGAAATACTCGGAACCATCCTTTTGGTTGTGGAAATGTGGCATCTCTGATTTATCCCTAGCTGTGGACATCTTAGCTGACTTTCTAGGGTGGAAGATTAGGTGAGCAACGAGACAAGGGACAGTGGTGGGTTCCCATCTCAGGCCAAAGTCCAAACAAGTGTGGCCAAGAGACGAAAACTTGGGGGAAGGCTATGCTACTCGAGGTAAGGAAGGTATGGGCGTTATTTTTGGAGTAATGCTCTCCCCAGCAAAGGAAGTGTGGAGATTTTATTGGGGAGCCTGTATGGCACACTTTCAAGTAGGAAAGCCCTCCGGGTGGCAGTGGGAGCACATTCCCAAGCATACTCAGTTTAAGGTCAGAATTCAAGAAGGAAGGAGGGTAGGCACGCTTTCCAGGGTCATAGAGCAGGAGTTGAGTTAGAGTCGGGGAAGGTAATATTCTTTGGGCATGCTCAGTGTGATGGTTAATATTGCCAACTTGACATTATTTATCGTCCCTTAGGAAGCAAGGTTCTGGGGCATGCCTATGAGGGAGTTTGCAGATTGGGTTAATCGAGGTGGGAAAACTTGCCCTGAATGTGGGCAGCGCCATCCCGTGGGCTAGGGGCCTGGACTGAATAAAAAGGAGAGAGTGAGCTGAGCACCAGCATCCACCTCTCTCTGCTTCCTGACTGTGGATGCCGTGGGACCTTATGGTCCCGCGGCCATGTCTTTCCCACTGTGATGGGCTGTGCTCTTAAACTGCGAATCAAAATCAGCTCCCCTTCCTGTAAATAGATTTTAGGAGATATTTTGTCACAGTCATGGGAAAAGTCACAAATACAGTCAGCTTGTATGACAAAGAAGGCAGACGGGAATGTCACTGGCTCTACTGTTTTTCTATATATACCCAGGTGACACACAGCCTTTGAGAGGCGGAAGCAAGCATATCTCTGTGAGTTGCAGTCTCGTCTGGTCTACACAGAGAGCTCCAGGATAGCCAGGGCTGCTATGTAGTGAGACCATGTATCAAATAAATAAATAAAACAAAGTAAGTTAGTTTTAGGTGACATGGAAGGCCAGCACTTGGATAATGTCCCCGTGTGGTGCCCTCCTTGCTTGGCCCCCCTGAAGTGGGCATGTGCCACTGGTGGATGCTCACACCTGTAAAAAGAAGACCCTGCCCGTCCCCATTCTTGGAGCTGAGTCCCATGCTTCTCAGAGATCTGCTTGTTCCTTAAGAGGCCCCCAATCACTCTCTGACTTAAAGGTCAAAAATACACGTGTTTTCAACACCCACGTGGGAGAGTCCAGGAGGGAGACCCCCATCTGCTCCGTGGGTGTCCTGGCAGGTCCCATGAGGCAGGTGCCTGGAGATCTCCTCACCTGGATTCATTTCTCTGCCACCTTTCAAGTTTAAATAGTCATTCAAAATGAGCTCTCAGCATGGTTTACCTCCACTAGCCTCCAGATATGGTGGAAGAATTCGGGCATCTGTATATGCCTGTCCATGCAGTTACCTGCAGAGGCCAGAAGAGGGAGTCAGATTCCCCCTGGAGCTGGAGTTACAGGTGGTTGTGAACCTACTGGCCTGTGTGCTGGGAACCCAAATGGGGTCCTCTGCAAGAGCAGCAAGCACTTTACAAACAGCCCTCTCCCCAGCCCCCCAGCCCTGCTCCTTGATGGCTTCATTTCCTAGAAGACATCCCCTGTATGCTTAGCCTGTCACCAAGTCACTTGGCTAACCTCCATATGTGTCCTGGACACTTTGTGGTGGTAACTTTTATTGCTTAGTCTTGGAAACCTCCAGCTCACCACAGCCACGGGGCCACTAATCTCCTCTACGTAGCTTTGGATATTGTAGTTTTAAAATACCAAGTGCTAAGAATATCCCCAAGCCTGAAGATTTTTTTTTTTGTCTAAAACAAGGTTAGTGAATATTTAAGACCTGAATTTCTCTGAGCTTAAATCGCTTTAACAGATATACCCTGAAGTTAAGGAGGATTTAGTTGGGAGACCAAGATGAAATTTAAGAAGAATTTCATAACTTGTGCTTAAGAGATGGGCGGCGTGTCAACAATTTGGCTTTACAAGTGTTTTTAATACCCAGCATGCATTTCTTCTGCTATGACTTGAATTTCTTTTCAGCGTCCCCCTCTTTTTAAGCCCTCTCAATATGGGATTAACCTCACCCATTACGAACAAACCCATCAAATTCAGCCTGGGAAAACCAGCTTTAAGATTTTTGTTCTCAGAAGGAGAACCTTATTTCTTGTATTTTTGTTCCTCTTCCTCCTCCTTCTTAGCATTTATGGGATTTATTTATATTTTATGTAAAACAAAATAGCCAGCATGCTTAGACAGTTTTTTAAAAAATGTTATTTTACATCCCAGCCGCAGTTGCTCCTCCCAGGCCCTCCGCACATGAGGATGTGGGACCTGAAGCTGCTGGCAGCCACCCTGTGGCCATGAGAGAACTCTCTGTGGGCTAGCCTGCAACTGCTTCTCACTTCTCCTCTGACCTCTAGAGGCTTGATGGAAGGGTTCTGAGCCATCATATGTGTGGGAAAGATCAATGTGAGTTGTTATAATAGTGAGGACCCACAGGGCAGAGGGCACAGCTCCGGGGAGAAGGGCTTTGGATGTAGACACGGGTTCTGGGACATTCTCTTCCCTTGTTCCTTTGGCTGGAGGCAGCAATGGAACAGGATGCCTGTTTATGGCATGCATAAATCAACTCCTAGGATGTCATGGTGTCAAGAAAGAAAGCTTTGTGGAAGAGGAGATTAAGACCAGAATCCAACAGGAGGAATGATCAGATACAGAAGTCGGGATAGCAGACAGGTAGCATTGAAGCCTCTGGAGTGTGCTGTTCAGGTGGGAGCTGGGGTGACCACAAGAAGGGAGAGGGAGGCAGAGTCCCTTCTTTGTATCTGATGGAACCATAGGGGTTGGCATTCCTGAGTCCACTCCACATTCCTTAGAGCAGGTGACAGAGCCCGGCTTCAGGATGGGTCTCGGGCTCAGATGTCGCCCATGTTGCAGATTCTGCTGGGGAAGGGTCCTTTTCTTGTCCTTCCTGGGCCTCCCAGGTGTCTTAGTGCAGGTATTACTCCTCCACCCCCTTCACATTTCAATCACTCCTGGGATGGGTCACTTACCTCCCTCCTCATATAATTTTTTTATTTTGGTTATTTGTATTTTAGTGGCTATGTGTTAAGTGCGTGTACCATGGTGCACCCATAGAGCTCAGAGGTCACATGGCATGGGTCTGTCCTCTCCCTCCACCATGTGGGTCCCAGGGTTTGAACTCAGGTCTTCAGGTTTGTTGGTAAATGTCTTTGCCCACTGAGCCATCTTGTGGGCCCTTGCCTCTCTTTTTTAATATTAAGATAAAATTTGCATAATATTATTAATTTAAAAGCCAGTGACAGAAAGTGGAGGTGCATGACAACATGCTGTGCACTTGTGAAAAGGCCAGGGTTTATTTATTTGCGAATTTATTCTTGAGACAGGGTCTCACTCCATAGCCCAGTTTGGCCTTGAACTTGTAGCAATTCTCCTGCCTCAGCTTTCCAAGTTCAGAGTTTACTCATAGAAGTCACCATGCATGGTTTGGGACACATCAGCATTAATTTTTTTTTTTCTTAGCTAGGGGCAGTGGTGGCACACACATTTAATCCCAGCACTCAGGAGGCAGAGGCAGGTGGATCTCTATGAGTTCGAGGCCAGCCTGGTCTACAGAGTGAGTTCCAGGACAGCCAGGGCTTTCCAGAGAAGCCCTGTCTTGAAAAATCAAAAAAAAATTTTTTCTTACATTTATTTCTTTATTATGTATGTGTGGAGGTGGGTGCCTCTGTCATGGTGGTGTGTGGAGGTCAGAGGACAGCTTGAGGAAGTTGTGGGTCTTTCACTGTGTGGATTCCGGATGCTGAACTCAGGTCATTAGGCTTTGCAGCAAATGTCCTCACCCACTGAGCCATCTTGCTGCCCCTAAGATCAGTCTTAAGGGAAAGCCTTCAGGGAAGGGGGTCTTCGTGTGATACAGATGCCATCTCCCATGGAGCTGGCCCAGGCAAAGCCGATTTTTTTTTTCTTGAGACAGAGTTTCTCTGTGTAGCTTTGCGCCTTCCCTGGAACTCGCTTTGTAGACCAGGCTGGCCTCGAACTCAGAGATCTGCCTGCCTCTGCCACCCGAGTGCTGGGATAAAGGTGTGCGCCATCGCCGCCCGGCAAGACTATTTTCTTACGCATCTACTTTCTTCTTCTGTCATTAGAATCAAGGCAGCCGCGGGCGTGAGGATAACGGCAGTGCGGGTGAGCAACGAGAACCAGTGGGCAGTGCAGGAGGACATTGAGCAGGATGGTACCCAGACCACGGCAGCCCTGGCCTGCGTGGGACACCACCCGGAGAAACAGAGCAGGTGAGCACTGTGGTGTGCGGGATACGACAGCGGGTGACGGAATAACGCGCACGCGCACGATGGCGTGTGGACCGCCCTTCCGCCTCACCAGCCTGGTGTAGCCACTGCAGGGATGCACTGCAGCCTGGACCGTCCATCCTGTATGCACAATACACAGTGAGGTTGCCTGTCTCCAAGACGACCCTCTTTCATTTATCACAGTTCGGAGTCCGATAACCATATTGTTACTATTGTTGTTGTTTCCGTGAAGAACTGAAGGCTGAAATGGGGGTGGGGGTGGGGGTGGGGTGGGGTGGGGTGGGGTGAATCAATTAAAGAGCCAGGGAGAAATTGCTTTTTAATAAGCAAGCTGAGTGCTCACAGCTATCAGCTAATTGTTTCTCACTGCTTATTTTTTAAAAAATCTATTATTATTATTATTATTATTATTATTATTATTATTATTATTATTGTGTGTGTCTGTTGATCTGTGTGTCATGGTACATGTAGAGGTCAGAGGACAGATTTCAGAGGATGGTTCATCCCTTCTCCTATGAGCCCCGGAGGGGGTTCAACTCAAGTCCTCAGGCATAAGAGGTACGTACCTTTACCCACCGAACCATCTCAGGTCCCTGGCTGTTTAAATATATGAGCTGTCTCTGTGCCATTGAGCCCACACCCGGAGCGGGGTGGGAGTGGGGCTCTGGAGTCTCAAGTCCAGGTTTCTTTACAGTCTTCCACAGCTCAGAATCCAGCCTGAGGGGTTGTGGGCTCCACCAACCTAGGCGGCAGAGGGTGGAAAGATCCCTGACTTGACAGCCCCTCCCCAGTCTCCGCTCCCACTTTCTTCCCCTACTGAGAGTGCGTCTGTCTGTCTGCCTGTCTCCCACCCTGGGCCAAGGAGCAGTGCTGGATGAGTGGCTGCTAAATTCAGATGCCACCCCAGTGCCCCGGGCGCTGTATCACTTATCACTGTAAACTGTCCGTGATCTCTTTTCTTTCTTCTCTAGCTTTGGGTCCTTGGAGGCCCAGGAGACACTCTGGCCTTGGTGATGAATCAGTGTGGGCCATGAATGGGGTCGGAGGCTGGCGGTGTGTGTGTGTGTGTGTGTGTGTGTGTGTGTGTGCTTTTTCCGTGGACATGCCTGGCACATGCTGTCACTTCTCATGTGACCCCAGCCAACCCCAGAGCTTTACTGTGTTGCCTTTGAAGGTCTTCCAGGAGGAGGAATGACTCAGGCGGAGCGGTCTGATGCTGGTTTCCATTCTGAACTCATCAATCACACCACTGGGCAGACAGTGTCCTGGATGGAGTGTGGGCTGTGACATCACATGGCCGGGGTTTCCCTGTATATCTGAATAGGCCTGCTGGGCACCCTGGGTCCTGGAGTTGTTAATATTGGCTTAAGGGCTTCTAGTTGCAAAGCCACAGGTCATTCCCCCAAAGTGGTTGCCGTAAAGGGCTTCACCGTCTCACAGAGCATATTCAGAGGGGCTGTTCACACAGCAGTACCCGGCGTGGCCTCTTGGGGATCTTCCAGCTGGTTTCCTCGTGGCCACAAGATGGTTGCAACTCTTCCAGCCATCACAGACTTCACTCAGCAGTATCTAAACACTGGGAAGGAGTGGAGTGTCTCCTGAGTCTCCTCAGTTCCCCTAAGCCGGTCTTTGGTTTAAAAGATCTAGGTAACAGAGGGCTCCCTGCCTAGGAGCAGGCTGGGCTTGGGAGGTGAGTTTCTCGTGTTGCTTTCTAGCTGTATAGAGGTGGGCTTCACGGCCGGGGCATGAGGGGAGGGTGAGGGTAGTCAGTGGGCACAGTGGCCACACTCTTTAAAAGGTGGGCTCTGCCCAGGGATGTAGCTTGATTCTGTTTAGCACAGGGGGCTGGTGTGCTTATATCCACAGTGGGAGAGCGCATCTCCCTGTGGTCTGCATTAGAAGTGGGAGCTCTGGTACTCTGAGTTTCTCCTTCAACCTGTCTTCCTTCCCTGGTTCCTCCCTGGCTACCCTCCCCTCCTGGGAGCAGTGCAGTGGCCAGGAACTCCCAGTGCCCCTCTGACCACACGGTCACTCTACGGAGCAGTTGTTTTTCCTGGTTGAGTGTGGCTATGAGCCAGACGGTTGTCCTGGGCTCTTCTCGGACATCCGCCCAGATCAACTCAGAGCCAGGGTTCCTATCAGTGCCCCCAGGGCTTGGGCAGAGCGGGGATAGGGAGGGGTCTGGAGCCTGTGGACACTGATGGCGATGGCGGCAGGAGTTAGAGGAAAGCACACCAGTCCGTGTAATGTTGTTGATCCTGACATTGGTCTGAAAGGGGTGGGGTTTCCCGGTTCTGCATCTGGGACACTGGGGTTATAATGATGGTCTCCATGGTGTATGCTGAGGAATTAAATTTTGTAGGAATGCTTTGTAGTTGGAGTTTTTTCCAGTCTTGCTCGGGCTGCTGCCACTCAGACCCAAGTAAACACACAGAGACTTATATTACTTATAACTATATGGCCGTGGCAGGCTTCTTGCTATCTAGTTCTTGTATCTTAAACTAACCCATTTCTATTAATCTATAAGTTGCCACGTGGCTTGTGGCTTACCAGTATTTTTACATCTCTCTTCCTCTGTGTCTGGCTGGAGACTCCTGACTCAGCCTTCCTCTTCCCAGAGTTCTCCTCTTTGCTTGCCCCGCCTATACTATACTTCCTGCCTGGCTACTGGCCAATCAGCGTTTTATTTATCAATCCAATCAGAGCAACACATTCACAGCATCCCCAGCAATACTTGATTGGCAGAGTGACTCCATTTTGTTTGTGTGTGCGGTACATATGCACACATGTGCGCATGGAGGAAAGAGGAGGATGCCTGGTGTCATGTCCTATCAGTTGCTGCCTCCTTTCCTTGAGACAGGGTCTCTCACTGAACCTGGCTCGTGGTTCACAATGATCTTCCCGTCTCCACACCCCCACAATGCTTGGGTTCCATGCCCGGCTTTTTATCTGGAGGCTGAGGATTCGAACTCAGGTCCTCAGGTTTTTGCAGCAAGCCCCCTCTGACCCCCTGAGCCATCTCCCCCAGCCCATGGCCAGTGTTTCACATGGAAAGAAGGGTGCTGATCCTCAGAAGTGGTTGTCACTTTTTGGTTTTGTGATTTTCTTTTTTTCTCTAGAAAAAAAATTAAAAAAAATGCTACATGGGAAAGAGGAGGCCGTTTTGCAAATGAGAAGGGCTTCCATCCCAGTGACTTTTTCTGTACTTCTCCTTCCTGCTGGATGTTTGACACCTCCCCCTCCCCCCCAACTCCAGCTCCAGGCTGAAGAACAGCAGGGAGCCGTACTCCAGCATGGCAGTTTATACCTATGAATATCCATCTAAAACCATTACATAATCGAATATCCCTCTGAAACCATTCCATAATCTAAATAAATAATTGCTTCTTTTTATACGTCGGGTCTCATTGTGGTATCAAATGAGGTGTGAAATACCGGCTCACGCACCGAGTCTGCCAGCGAACAAAGTGAATGTATGAATATATCCCTGGCAGAACACTGTAATCTCCGGATTGTGACAACCTCAAGTGGAATTGAGGTTTTTTAATAGGATATAATGTACAAACTGCCTGAAGTCCTGTGATAAGAATTAAAAAAATGTGTTGTGTGGGAAAGACCCAGCATGCTCTCTTGAGGGGGCAGGAAAGGTCTTCATTTGAAATATTTTAATGAAGGCTCACGGGGAGGAGACATGAGCGGCAGAGGCACAGCCCACAAGATAAACACCCGAGTTGCCCACGGAGGAGAGATTAGGAAAGTAAGCAAATTTGGAAGTGTTGGGGACAGATAACAGGGGACCCGAGGAAATGAAAGGGACTCTGAGCATGGAGACTGTGAGCTCCCTGGGTGACTCCGGGCATTAGGATCTCAAACCTCAGAAAATAGCTGCTGTGTGTGTATGTGTGTGTGTGTGTGTGTGTGTGTGTGTGTGTGTGTGTGGTGTTTGAGCATACACACGTGTATGTATGTAGAGGCCAGAGTCTGTGTTAAACGTCTTTCTCAACTGATGTTCACCTTGCTTTAAATGTTTTTTTTTTTGAGATTGATTTATTTTTATTTTATGCATACGGATGTTTTGCATGCAATGTCTGTGCATAATGGGCATGCTTGGTGCCCTTGGAGACCAGAAAAGGGTATCAGAGCCCCTGGGACTGGTGTTCCAGAGAGTTGTGAGCCACTATGTGGGTTCTGGGAATCGAACCTGGGTCCTTTGGAACAGCAACCAGTGCTCCTAACCACGGAGCCATCTCTGCAGGCCCTACCCTACCTTTCTGTGGGGTGGGCAGTTTTTAAGACAGGGTTTCTCTGCATAGCCCTGGCTGTCCTGGAACTTGCTTTGTGGACCAGGCTAGCCTTGAACTCAGAGATCTTCTTGCCTCTGCTTCTTGAGTGCTCGGATTAAAGATGTATGCTACCCTGTTTTTTTTTTTCAGGACAGGGCCTCTCACTGGGTGGGGTGCACAGAGTGGGCTAGCCTTGGCTGCCCCGCCAATGAGCCCCTAGGGCTGCCCTCGTCTTTACCTCCCGAGCACAGGACTGAGTGGGTTGCCAGGTCTGACTTTTACACACGGGTTCGGGGATCAAACTCGGGTCCTTATGGTTGCATGGTAAGCATTGACTGCTCCACCTCCCCAGCCCTGATGTTTTTCCGTGGCCAGAAAACACATCCAGGGCCCGTTCTGATGTAAGCCTTGCCACCCAGCTGAGCAAAGCTCTAGGCCCACGGGCGAGAGGAGGGAACAAACCAAACGCTACCTTGGATTTCTTCACAGCCACATACACCATTGCAACCCTACCCAAGGCCAGATGAATGTCAAAGCCAGGAGCTCGCCTATCTGAAAGTCTGGAACCAGGGCTGGGGGTGGATCTCAGTGGTAGAGTGCTTACCAGTGAGCAAGTGTCCTGAGTTCCATTCCAGCACATGCCCTCCTCATCGGCACACATTTGCAGGCACGCAGGCACGCAGGCACGCAGGCACGCAG